CAGAAGGACAAAGAACATGGGATGGCAGGAGACCTTGTGGGGCCTGAGCTGGTAGGTGAGGCCTCGGCAGCGTGGGGGGCACTCAGACCCTGTGGCTTCCGTTGGAGCAGGAACTGGACTCTGATCAGGTCGTGGGGCAGGCAGACCTCCCACCGGGGTCCTAGGTGCTGGGTTTGGCTGCCTGCACCTGCTACCATGTGGATGGGTCTCCTGCCATACCTGTGAGGTGGCCAAATGAGCCAGAAAGAGGGCCACTGCGACCCAGAAGGCCAGACAGGACTGGTCCAAGCCTGGTGTCGGGGCCACAGCCTGCGCCTGGATCGGGGGCTGCAGCTGCCCATCTTCCATCTTCTTGGTGGCCTCCCCGTCGCGCAGAGGAAGGCCCCAGCGCTTGCACTACAGAGGACTCTGAGCTGAAGCCGGTCTCACGAGACCATGAAATGCCCGCTGCGCTGCCCTGCTGGGCCACTGAGCAGAGTGAATGGGGGGTAAGGAGGTGGCGCAAGATGGCAGCTGGGGGACTAGCTGGCCCGAGGCCCGCTGGCTCCTGTCGTACCTGTGCACTGCAGCACGGTGACACTAAGCCTGGCCGGCTGCACCTTCCTCGCCAGGTGCTGATCCACATGGGCAGAATGGTTTTAATTTAGCAGCATTTACCAGCTTACATTACACCACATGGCTGCCGTGTGACGTACAGGTAGGGGAGGTGAACCGCTGCACCTGTGCTGACACCAGAGAACGCTTCCCGGAGGAGGAAGTGTTTGACCTGGGTCTCAGCTGAGTAGGAGTTCACCGAATGGGGAGGCTTTCCTGGGAGGCAGGACAGCAAGAAGGAGGCCGAGAGAGGCAAAGCGTGGCGGGCTCTGTCGGCTGAGGCTGAGCTTCGCAGAGGAGGAGCTGGCGTTCCTTTTGTCCCCTGGGTTGGGGCAGGGCTGGTGGTTTGTTGGGTGAAGGCTGATCACTCAGCGATCAGGGCCAGACACCCAGAGAGTGACAGAGGGGCCCAGGAGGGGGGGAGGTCTGTGGGCTGGGATTGGGGCCACTCTGGGCCCTGGGACTGAGCCACTGTCAGGAGCAGGTGCTGGGAGCTCGTTAGGTGACTCGGGTCCTTGGCAGGGGTCTCAGGACCCCGTTATCAGGTGGGGAGCACTGACTCCCAGCCAGGTCGGCTGTGGTCTAGTGCCTGAGAAATGTGCCTCCAAACACAAGTGGGGTTTTTGCTTCATGAAATAACCGGCCTTTCAGTGGAGACTTCAGGTTTTCTTTCTGCATCGTGTAGACAGAGGAAGCATTGAGTGCCGTGCGTGCTCTTTACCTTACAAGTGCTGGTGATGTCATTTGTGTAGTCCACAAAAGTCACCCGGGGCTTCCCAGCCCAGGAAACCCAACGCTGTCCCCATCTCCACGGTCTCTTAAAGCCCATATTCCCACATCACAGCTTCTGCTTCTCACTGCTCGGTCCCATATGCTGTTTCTGCTTTGTCCTGGGCCAACCCAGATGAAAAGTCATTCCCCTGGTGGCTGTCAGGGCAGAAATGACCCGCACGATGGGCTGTGCGAGTTCCTGTGGGAGGACTCGGCTGGCGGTGAGTGCACAGCCTCTCCGCGAACGGCCGGCATGCTTGACTGAAAAGATCCCAAACGTAGAACGGGGCCCGTGGCTGGACAGCACAGCAAGGCTGAAGCCCAGTGTGTGGAAGGACATGGCCCCACGGGGTGAAGGAAGGGGACCCCATGCGCCGTGGAGCCTGGCGCCTTCTCTGAAGGACCTGCTCCTGGCAGCTTGCCGGACACCTGAGTCTGTTTCCTCATTAGTAATTGTAGTCAGTGCGTTTTCGTGTTGCCGGGAGAGTTAGACGGGGTCTCGTGCAGACAGCCCCTGGCCGGGGCCTGGCCCTGAGAAGTGTCTCCCTCATCGTCTCTTTCCTGTTCCCCTGACTTCCTCACACAGAGGTCGGAGGTGTTCCAGGCAAGGTGGGGGGCGCTTGGCAGGGCTATGAAAAAGGGTTCACCTGCATGATGAAGTCAATACGACGTATTATTTGCTTAGTACTTAAAGACACAGTAGCCTGCCTTCAAGTAGCTCAACCTGGGGAGAGCGGTGACACAGCTGCTGCGTGAGCGCCTGCGGGGCGCAGGGAAGAAGGCCTGCAGCCCAGCCCTGCTGGGGCCCCGGGGCCTGCCCAGCCCAGGACCAGTGGCCGCGCTTTGAAAACCTCTGGGCAGGATCTTATTTTTGTTTGTTTACGTTCCTGAAACACTTGGCTGTCTTCCCAGAATGTCCTGGGGAAGAAAAGCGTGAATTTGAATGGTAAGGAAGGTAGTGGGTACCAGCTGACCGTGGGCTTCTGTTCCAGGTGTCTCCATGCGAGAGGTGCCGCTGCGAGGCCAACGGGGAGGTGCTGTGCACGGTGTCCGCGTGTCCCCAGACGGAGTGTGTGGACCCTGTGTACGAGCCCGAGCAGTGCTGCCCCATCTGCAAAAATGGTATGTGACATGCTGAGGGCGGGCGGGCACCTCCACGCGCCCCACAGTCCACGCACGAGTTCTTCTCTTACTTCTTGGTCCATGAAAGATGCACACATGCGTGAGCTTGCACACGTCTGTCCACACAAAGTCACATGCGTGTCTCTACCGCCTTGAGGCCCCAGGGGACAGACAGTCAGGCGTGGCTTCTTAGTAAGGCAGGGGCTCTCCTGGTGTCAGCCCCATGTTTTATGGACATGAAGTTCTTTGGGGAGAAAGTTAATTTCCACTATTGAGGAGAGTCACTTATTTTAATTTAACTTTGTTTGTTCTTGCAGTTCCCCTCTCCAAGACAAATCAAACAGGCTGGTTAGGCTCATTTACTTTTCATTACTAAGTGAATTAAAACTTGACACATAATTGAATATTTTTCATAAGTAAATTAGGCAGGAAGAGAACCTCCTTTTATTTCCATTGAGAGCCTGGGCAGATCAAAAGCCTTGTCTGCTGTGTGAATAAGAAGTGGCCTGGTGTCCTTGGTCCTAATTTATAAAGGCAGAGTGTTTCCTCCTCCCCGCAGTGAGACTCACCTCTTACCTGCAGCACCAGAGTGCCACTCTGGGCCTCACTTTCTAAGTGGATGTCTGACAAGAGCATGTTCCCAGGGAGAATGGCCTGAAGTATTATGGTTCCGAGGACAGTTTGATAAAGCAGCTGAGTGTCCCTTCAAAGAGAGCTGACTTTGGAGACGTGACCATGTCTTCCAGTGTATGAGCACCTTCCCTCACCTGGTGGTAGGATTCATGGCAGAAGCCACAGATTGGCTCAGACAGATGGAAGCAATTCCGTGGCCTGAGCATTTCAGAGACGGAACTGGCGAACCTGTGAGGTTGTCAGCTCGTCAGCAGCTGGGTTGAGGGACCAAGTTTGGCAGCCATGTGATGTGGGCTTTCTAAGTGGCAGGTGGTCACACAGGGCTGTTATGAGTGTCGCAGACAGTTCTGAGGTTCTGCAGTCATGCCAACCAGCCACGCCGTGAGGTAGCACAGATACCTTTCAATAGGTACATGCAGGTACCCAGATTTCAGCACAGCAAATTGTAAAACCCTTGAAACAAATAAATAGAAGAAATGAAGTTTCCGGGGAGCCCTGAAAGAAGAAAGTCACTGTGTTAGAGGTGTACAGGAATTGGTGACGTGACTGTGGAGACGCGCTTTCTGCAGTCCTGAGCGTCAGTGGGCAGGGTCGAGAGATGCCCTATGTGCACTTGGTCTGGGTTGGCCATTCTTCTGAGTGTATTAATTATGGCAAATGGAGACCTGCGCTCTGAGTCCCGGAAAGTGAGCAGGCCTTTGAGCATGCACCATCTTTAAAACATAAAGCCCAACATTAGCTGTGGGGTGGAGTGGATCAGCAAGCTTTGCTTTGCTGGGTTACTTCGGGCTGACAGGAGGGCAGAGGCTTGAGGTTGGGGAAGGAGAAGCCGGTGGAGAGGCTGGTGGCGCTTTGCTGGGGCGGGGAGTAAATTCAGCCTGGTGAGGCGACAAGTGTCACCTGTGGTCTCTTAGGAGGTGACAATGGCTGATGTCCAGACGCAGAGCCCTGCACATGGGACACATGACCTCCCACTGAATCTCAGGGGATGTCATGAATGGCTTACATGCAGCTCGCTCAAGTGTCTGGCACCTTCAGGACCCCAGAGACTCATGCTTGTCTTGTTGTTTAGGGTAAGAAACAAAGTTTAGCTACTCAGGTCATCTTCATTTGGGTGTTTACAAAAGATGGGGAATTAAGTTTTCATCCCCTGAGGGTTTTTCCCATCCCCCCAAAGTATGAAAGTTTCAAACCTCCAGAAAACTTGCAGTGATTGTGAACAGTGGCACACCCTGCACTGTACATGCTTGTTAACATTTTGCCATGTTTGCTTTATCTCTTTTGATCTCTGTCTTTCTCCTGCTCTCTCCCCATCTCTCCCCAACACCACCCTTTTACTTATTTGTTCTTTCCCACAATACACACAGGATATACCTCTGATTTATACCACCACCGGCATGAAACGTGCTGAGTAAAGTTCAAGATTTCTTTGCACTTATTTTTGCCCTTTGAATATAACCCGCTTAGGGCACAGAATCAGAGTTATATTTAAAAATTATTTGAATTCTTGATTAAAATTATTCTTTACCATGTGTGGATATGTTAACATTGCATAAGGATTTAAAGTCATTGTATTTATACTCAGTTTTTGTCATTAAGATATAATTTTATTTTTTAATAACAAAAAACATTGTTGAAAAGTAAATTCTGTATAAATAAGGTCTACTCTGAAATTCACAGAACCTTTTAATATGGTGATGATAGTGTTTGGAGAGAGGACGTGGTTGCTATGGCGGCAGACTTCCAGGCTCCCCCATTGCCTCTGTACTTTGAGAGACAATGTGGGATGCAGGAAAGCAGGCTTTTTCGGGTGGCACATTATAGAGATTCTTAGGAGGATGAATATGTTTTATAAAAACTAGATTAAAGAAGGATTACAGATTACAAAAGGGTTCGTGTTAAAAGGTTTGATCCAATTATATCAAAACATCAACAACTTATTTTCAGGA